CCTTGTATCTTTGTTAGGACTTTAATTTTAGTTTTTCTTTTTTTCCTCTCAGTCTCTTAGTTTTTTTCCTTGAAAAAATTGGCGGGTTAGTAAATTTAGAAGCGGCAATATAAGGAGGGAATGCAACACTGTTGCAATAGTCTTTTTATTTAAATAACCGTCACCAGAGATATATATGTATATATTTCCACGTTTAAATAAACCGTCGCAATAGACCTGTCTATGGCAAGGGTTATTCCCCTAATGTGACGGTTTATTCTACTAACTATCTCACTAGCCCTGATAGAATTATGCAACGGTTAGAACCGTTGCCATAGACTATCTATTGCAACGTTTATATAACCATTGTTAAAAAACCGTTGCAATAGGTCTATTTTCTAGTAGTGAGCTATACGCGCTCGTGATAATCCCATATCTTTTGAAGAACTATTTGACAAACTTCTTGCGCATGAAGTTTTTGTCAAGCACTCAGAATCAATGAATGAGCAGCCTATTACCACCGCACAATTCAGCCAGCAAAGCAACTCGTTCAACCAATCTAAAGGAAGAAACCACACTGGTTCTCAGCGACGAGGAGGGATTTCCAACTCCATGGCTGGCATCCGCAATTTTTCTAGATAAATGACCAACTCAAAGGCGTTCAATAACAGGCCTAATCAACAAAGAGTGCAATGTCAATTTTGTGACAAGTTTGGCCATATAGCTAAGGTGTGCGCCCTAAATCTCACGATGCACTTGAAGCTCGGGCAAATTTTAACAATCGTACAAACTATGATGCCAATCACTCATGCTCATGGATTATCGACTCGGGGCTTCTCACCATATCATAGATAATCCAAATCCCTTCACTCTGCTACTGACTTCTCAGGCAATGATGAAATCATCATTGGTGATGGTAAAGGAATACCAATAACTCATATTGGTCAAACTATATTTCCTTGTGATAAAACTAAGTCTTTTCATCTGCATAATATTCTCCGTTCTCCAACAACAAAAAGAAATTTAATTTCAGTTGCTAAATTTTGTCTCCATAATCAAGCATCTATTGAATTCTTTCCTTATTCTTTTTGTGTGAAGCATTTGAATACAGGGGCACGCTTCCTGCAAGGACGGAGCAAAGGGGACCTCTATTAATGGCCAGCTAACAAGTCACAACATCCTCCATCTTCTCCTCCTGCTCACTTCACAACTACAACCACATCAACATTGCACTTGTGGCATGCCAGACTTGGTCATCCTCAACCTAGAATAACGAAATCATTTGTTTCCTCTTTTAAGCTTCCTGTTGCTAGTAGTGGAGATGATTCCTTTACATTTTGTAACTCGTGCTTATGTAATAGAAGTCATCGCCTACCTTTTGGTGACAATTACATTAGCAGTTCTAGACCTTTTGAATATTTGTACTATGATGTCTGTGGTCCTTCTCCCATTCACTCGTTTGATAATTTTCGATTTTATGTGATTTTTGTGGATCACTATACAAAGTACACCTGGTTATTCCCATTGAAGAACAAATCAGATGTTCAGGAGTATTTGTGAACTTTCTTAGTATGGTGCAAAACTGATTTCAGCTTACCGTTGGCACACTCTATTCAGATGGGGGAGGAGAAAACACAAGCTTAATATCTATCCTTAAGCAACATGGCATTCAACATCTCATTAGTCCTCTCTACACTCCTCAAATTGTTGGAACAGAACAGCTGAATGCAAGCATCACCATATCATTGATACTGCTCTAACTTAAATGCACCATGAATCTGTACCTTCACGTTTTTGGTCATTGGCTTGTCAAACAGTTGTCTACCTCATCAATAGGATGCCTACTCCATTACTCAAACTTCGCTCTCCTTTTGAATGCCTCTTTCACACGTCCCCTAATCCTTTGAAATTAAGAGTTTTTGGTTGTTTAAGTTGTCCCTGGTTAAAACCATAAAACAGTAATAAACTTGCTCCCAAATTTTCTCTCTTCAGTATCTTAGTTTTACAAGGCCGGATATTTGCTTTACCATCAATAAGTTTGCTCAATTCTAGCGTGCTCCTTCGATTCGACATTGGCAAGCAGCTAAGCGCTTGCTTAGATACCTCAAAGAAACACTCACCTATAGACTTCTCATAAGGCCCTCATCCACTAACATACTTCAGGCTTATTATGACGCTGATTGGGGCGGAATGTTTGATACCAGACACTCAACCTCAGCATATATCATTCTTCTTGGGTCAAATCCTATTAGTTGGTGTTCTAAAAAGCAACGAGCAGTTTCTCGGTCATCTACTGAAGCCGAGTACCGAGCTGTTGTAGGAGCTGTAGCTGAAGTAAACTGGTTTGTTAATCTCCTTAAGGAGCTGCATCTTCCACGTAAGACTACGCCAACGATCCTTTGCGATAATGTTGGAGTCACTTATCTCAATCGTAACCCGGTCTTCCACAGCAGAATGAAGCATGTGGCTATTGATTATCATTTCGTCCGTGATTTGATAGGAATCAAATTGATGTTCAGCATATTAGCAATGCCTCACATCTTGCAGATGCTCTAACAAAACCTCTACCTCGACGAGCTTTCTCTGACTTTGTGACCAAGATTGGCCTCCGACCAGTGGACACTACCAGAAAATATGCCTATGGCAACACTTTAACTATAGAACCGTTGCAATTGTAAAACAACCATTGCCATAGATTCATCTGGCGGAACGGTAGTATAAACCATCCCAATAGAACTATCTACGAGAACGCTTTCGTTGTAAAAATTTCTATTGGAACGGTTATTCCCCCCCCCCCCTTTTTCCCTCGTGAATTTTATTACACCCGCCAAAACAACCCCTATTCATTTTATTTTTTAATAATTTTAATAATACACATGTTAAATAAAAAAACAATTTTGGCATTTAATTTCCCCATTAACTGCGATGCCCCCTCTGCTAGGCGATAACCCCAAAGTAAAAACACTGAGTCATCTTCTTCTTCTTTACTGATACCCGCCCCCATCTCTTTCTCTCTCCAAGATTCTTCTTCTTCTTCACTGATACACTGCTTAAAACTCAGATATACTGAAGGTATTTTATTAAATTTTAATAATATACATATCAATTTTTTGTGTCGATGGCTAAATTCCTGTGGTATTTTATTAAAGTTTGAATCTGTAAACAAAGCTGGATTTTGGGTATTTGAAGCTTTTTGGAATTATTTTCAAACAAATTGTTGGTTTAAAGTTGCTAAGCGGGTTAACGGAGAAGACGACCTAGGGTTCGTTGTTTTCGTGAGTGTCTGAACAAATTGGTTTCGGGGTTTTATTCTTATTGGTGTCGAGAAGTTGTGGCTGAAGCTTGGGTTCATTTGTTTGAGGATTGCTCGACAATCGAATTTCTGGTGCTGAAGCTCGAAGAACAACTTCAAATTTCTGGAGTTGAGTGCCTGAAGCTGTTGCGTAGCCTATGCACTCCTCGACGCATCAGGTCTGATTTCTCTATGCTTAAACTTGTGTGATTTTCTGGATTCTGAGGGATTTATGATTGATTAATCGAATAGAAGACTGAACTTCATTACTATTATTTGGGATCGATCGATTTGAATCTGTGAATTCGACTCACGTAGTTTAAGCTTGATTTTTTTTGAGTATTGAACTGAATTCGTAGTTCGACTTGAGGCTGCCATTGGTTGAAACTATTTGCTATAAAATTTCTTAGAGATTGTTGAACTGATTTTGTGAGTTCGACTTGATAGTTTCTCTTGTTGTTGGAGTTCTAATTCATTGTTGTTGGTTGAATTCTGGAATTGGTATTAGACTGAAATACTTGGGACTCATTGTTGGGATTGATTGAGTTTGAATTTATAAGTCGACTAGAAGTTGCTAATGAATTATTTTGTGGAGTATCCTCATAGCTGTTGAATTGAATTTTGTTCTTGAGTTTCCCATTCCACTGCACTGTTTGAGTCACAATTTTCTGCCCCTGACAACTGCTAACATTCAGGGACTAGTTAGGGTTAGTTTGGTTGAGCTCTCTAAATTAGCTGTTGTTTGGTTTAAGTGTTCTGCACAACTGAGCCACAAATTCTACTCTGCTTCTCCTCTATTGAGCTGCTGAAAATCTGCATTTTGTTGGGAAACTTTGTTGCTTCACTTGCGTAGTTTTGAGTTTAGTTTTGGGTTAGAATATGCACTATTTGAGTGTAATTTACGCACTATTTTGCAGAATTTCAGTTGTGATCAGTAGTGGTTTAAATTCCTTTGAGTCTAATTAGTTTGTTTGTATATCTAAGGCAAGATTATTTCTTGTTTTCTTTGCTCGAATGCTCTCCAAGTAATCCCTTTCTGATGTCAATTTTTGTTTTTTTTGCATGCTACTCCTTGTTGAACTCTAGAACCTTCTTTGGTTGTATAGATATTATTAGCTGAGAGAAAGTTTATTTCTGGTAGCCGAGGAGAAATCATTGCTGGTAACTTAGGGAACACTCGTTGCTGGTAAGTTATCTTAATATAAATTTTTGGTAATTGGATTTGCTGGTAGTGTATTTGTGTATTTCGCTTATTTATCTTGTTATGTATGTTACTCAAAATTAGTTTATATTGTTATCTTGGGGTTTAACTAATAATGCCTTGAGTTAAGTTACAACATGTTGTTGAAGTCTAATTTTTTTAGAACTGAATGCATGTGTTGAGTAGGCTCTAAATTAAAGTACTAAAAATGACGGAATAGGCAAGCATTGTTATTTAATATTGTTCTGTAACTTTTTTGTTGCAAGAATACAAAAAGTTCAACCTATTTCTTAGAGTTACCTAACTAGCTAGATATTTATTATGTCAGCATGCAGAAAACTCATAAAAATATACAAATGCACTATGTTAAAATTGATTATCTATGTTAAAATATAAAATAAATATCCAACTTCTCTTCAGTTGCTCCTCTGTCTGAGTTTTCACCTTTAAAAGCATTGGTCAATATCTTATTATATGTAGGTTTATTTGGTTAATTTTGTTGATTTAATTTTATCGTATAGGATTTCAATGGATAATGGAGATAAAAGTTGGATGTATCTCCTAAGATGGACGGATGAATATATCCGTGGAGTGAACAATTTTCTTGATAAGGCATTTGAACGAGCTTCCCAGAGAAATAAAATATTATGCCCTTGCAAAAAGTGTATTAATCGCTATTGGCACTATAGAAATGTGGTGGAGGATCATTTGGTTGTTAATGGTTTTGTTGATGGTTACACCAAATGGGTTTTCCATGGCGAAGGGCTTTCCTCTAGAAATGCACCTCACCAAAGCAATGATGATGAAGATTCTAACATGCGTGATGATATTGATGGATTACTTCATGATACCTTTAGAAATGTAGAAGGTGAGGCAGAGCAGGAAGAACAGATGAGAGAGACTCTATCTGAAGATGCTAAGAGATTTTTCAGATTATTAGAGGAAGGCAAACAAGAACTATATCCTGGGTGTGAAACCTTCACTAAATTGAGTTTTACTATTCGGTTGTACGTGTTTAAATCCTTGCATGGATTGAGTAATGTGGCCTTTTCAGATATGCTAGAGTTGTTAAAAGAGGCATTTCCCTTTGCTCAGTTGCCAGAATCTTTCAACAAGGCTAGAAACATGATAAAAGATTTGGGTCTTCATTATGAAAAAATACATGCATGCCCTAATGATTGCATGTTATTTTGGAAAGACAATGCAAAGGCCGATAGTTGCTTTGTTTGTGGGGCTTCTCGATGGAAAGTTGTTGATGCTTCCTTAACTAATACAAGCTCTAAAATCCCAGTAAAGGTTTTAAGGTACTTTCCCTTAAAGCCTAGGCTTCAGAGGATATTCATGTGTCCTGAAACAGCCATTGCAATGAGATGGCATGCTAATGAACGACTCACTGATGGGAATATGAGGCATCCTGCTGATGGAGAAGCTTGGAAGGATTTTAATTCTCTACACCCAGACTTCTCCAGAGGTCCATGTAATGTTAGGTTGGGTCTTTCAAGTGATGGTTTCAATCCATTTCGAACCATGAGCATTTCTCATAGCACGCGGTCTGTCATGTTAATGAACTATAATTTATCACCATGAATTTGCATGAAGCCAGAATATATCATGTGGTCAATGATCATTCCAGGTCCTTCATCTCCAGGAAATGATATGATGTGTATCTACAAGCATTAATTGAAGAATTGAAGGAACTATGGGAAATTGCGATAGAAACATATGATGCTGAGACAAAGCAAACATTCCAAATGCGTGCAACCTTATTGCGGACAGTTAGTGATTCTCCAACTTTAGCAATGCTTTCAGGCTGGAGCACCAAGGGTAGATTGGCATGCCCCACTTGTAATTGCGACACATTCTCACGATATCTCAAACATAGTCATAAGATGTGTTACTTGGGTCATCGAAGATTTTTGCCTCTTGATCATCCATCGAGAAAAGATAAGAAGTCATTTGATGGTAAAGAGGAGCATAGACATGCACCTACTCCTTTGTCCGGTGTGGAAGTGTTTGAAGAGCTCTGTGAATTCAACAATGTCTTTGGAAAGGGAAAAAAGAAAAGACCTCGGGATAACAAGGGTCCGTGGAAAAAAAGATCTATTTTTTTGAATTGCCATATTGGGAGGAGCATAATAAATTGAGGCACAATCTTGATGTGATGCACATCGAGAAAATCATATGTGACAGTTTACTTAGGACTTTATTGAAAATAGAAAAAAAGTCAAAGGATCATGTAAATTCTCGCTATGACTTACAAGAAATGGGGATACGAAAGGAGCTACAACCAAGAGAAGATGATGCTGGTAGTGTGAGTTTGGCTAAAGCTTGTTTCTACATGAAACCAAAATAGAAAAATTTGTTTTGCACCGTTATGAAAAATGCCAAGTTACCAAAAGGGTGTGCTTCGAATATTTCAAATCATGAGCAAGTGAAGGAGATGAAAATATCAGGGTACAAGAGTCATGATGCTCATTTTATAATGCATTACTTGCTCCAGGTTGCTGTTAGAAAGGCGTTGCCCAAGAACGTCTCGTTGGCCTTGATTAGGTCTGGCAATTTCTTTAGAGCCATATGTAGTAAGGTCATAAGGTGAAGAGATCGTGAAAAGATGCAGTCTGAAATTGTTGAAATAACTTGTGAGCTTGAAAAGATTTTTCATCCAACATTTTTTTACATAATACCACATTTACCTATTCATTTGGTGAATGAAATTAAGCTTGGGGGTCCGGCTCATCTTCGTTGGATGTATTCCATTGAGAGGAACCTATGTAAGTACAAGGCATTTGTTCGTAATCGATCTTGTCCAGAAACATCAATAGCAGAGGAATTTTTGGCAGAAGAGTGCTTGAATTTTTGTTTGAGACACCTACATGATGGCGTGAAGACAAGATTCAGTAGATACACAACTGTGGATGATTAGTGCCCTCAAAATTTGTCACCTATATTCCCTATGATAGGACATCCAATTGGAAGTAAGAAGAAAAATAGTTTTCTCATGGATCCACAGTTATGTTATGAAGCCCATCGGTATGCTCTGTTCAATACTGGCGATGAACAAGTGGAAAAGTTTATCGAGTAAGATAAATTATATAAGATTTATTTAATTTATATGTTTCTTTTTCTTTATGATATGATTGATTTTATAAAATTCATGATTGCAGGGAACATAAGAATTTAATTAGTAGTCACAGTAGATCAAATGCATGGGAAAGGGCAAGGAAGCATAGTCGGGAATTCAACAATTGGTTTGCAGAAAAAGTTAAAAATATTGAAGAACCCGATTATTTAAGATGGCTAGCTAAAGGGCCTAATACGATCGCCAAAAGATATACTGCATATTTTATTAATGGATACCGATTTCATACCATAGAACGGGATTCCCGATGCAAGACTCAAATTAGTGGAGTGACTTTATCGGCAACAACCCATAGCTTTGCTAGCTCTAGGGACCAAAATCCCATCGATGGTGAGGTTACCTATTATGGAGCTATTCAGGATATCATTGAGATTGATTATTGGGGTTGTTTTAGCGTTGTACTATTTAGATGTGATTGGTTTCGTAACGAAATAGATGAATATGGGTTAACTCGTGTATACTTTAACAAATTATGTAGTACAGATGACCCTTTTGTGTTGGCATCGCAAGTTTATCAAGTTTTTTATGTGGAGGATCCATTTGAGAAAGATGTTTATTATGCAAGGAATAAAGTCTCTCTTGATTTGTATGATTTAGAGGAAGAGAATTGCCCTAATATTGAAGACGCATTTTGGAGAGAGCTTAATGATAACATTGGTTCCTTAAGTGGATTAGTTGATGCTGATGTTAGATGGTCTAGAGACGACGTACCCGTTGATGTCATTGATATTCCATCTAATGCACAACATTCAAATGATACAATTATAGAAACATCGGAAGAGGATGTCACGACCCCCGTTCACCCTCCATGAACATGTCGTGATGGCACCTAGTTCCTACAACTAGGTAAGCCTAACAGTGCGGAAATAACAATTCAACTTGAGGAATAATCAATTAAAACCGAACATATGGAAAATAACAACTGAATATAAGGCCGCCCGGCCTATACAACTCTAAAGATATGCGGAAGTCTACAACTCAATCCCAAAACCCGGAAACTCACGGAAAACACAAGCTAATAGAATTACCATAAGTACTCTAATCTCTAGAATATCTACATCAAGAGTATGATAGGATAACAACTCTACAACTAGAATAAGGAAGAAGACTCTTCGGTCTGCGGACGCTGCAGATATACCTCGAAGTCTCCGTGTATCTCCTCGCCTCAAGGATAGTGCGCCTGAGAAGAGTACCTGAATCTGCACATGAAAAACATGCGCAGGAAGGGCATGAGTACACCACAGCGGTACGCAGGAAGGGCATGGGTAGTGACGAGGAAGGTCAGGGCCCTACTGAGGCAAAATATAATAATGATAGTTAACAGTATGAAAATCTGACAGAAATAATGAGTATATCAGCGAAATAAGGCAGGTCAACGAGGCAATAACAACTACAAAAGAACAGAGTAAACACAGAATAAATACAGCTCAATAACAATGATAACAATGAGGGTCTCCCAGGATACCATCCTGTAGCCCTTTTTTCAACTGTCCAGTGGATCTCCCGGGATACCGTCCCGTAGACCATCATATGTGTATATCCGAAGGTTCTCCCGGGATACCGTCCCGTAGTCCAACTATCAATGTGCAGGGGGATCTATCGGGAATCTAACCCGCAGTCCCAAAGTAAATGTACAGGGGGATCTATCGGGAATCTAACCCGCAGTCCCAAAGTAAATGTGCAAGGGGATCTATCGGGATTCGAACCCGCAGTCCCAAAGTAAACAAACAAGGGGGGGAGCTACCGGAATCCCACATCCGTAGTCCCAATGTAAATGCCGCAACCACAATCAGAAGATATTCAGAAATGAAGTACAAAAGACAAACATCAGGTAGTACTAGCCTAGCATGCTTCACGTAGTACAGTCAAGGAAACTTAAACAATTAGGCAAGTTAAATCAACTAAACATGCTTTTCTAATCTAACACAGGTTATAACTGCAAGTAAAACAAGGCGAATATGAAGGAAACTCAGTCTCCATATCTTAAGTAAAAACCGGATTTTTCAACAATTAGCTCAAGTACGCGCTCGTCACCTCACGTACAAGGCACTCAATTACCACATATCATATCCTACGGGGAAAGGTCCCCCACACAAGGTTAGACAAGCCACTTACCTCGAATCGGCACCAAAATCAACTCGAAATCACACTTTGCCACGAGTATCCGACTCCAAATGGCCCAAATCTATTCAATTCAATTACATATCGTAAGTAATATTGCAAACAACGGTAAAATGACCAAAATGCCCCTCAGGCCAACGTCTCGGTATCGAATAATTTTCACATTTTCAGAACCCTCGTACTCTCACGATTCTAACCATATAAAAATCTCCCAAATCGGAGGTCAAATGCCCCCTCAAAACCCAATAGTTTGGTGTATGAAGTTTTACCCCAAATTAACCAACTTTTGATCCTAAATTCGAATTCCAATGATGTATTTAGCTATATAATGATGAAATATAATGAAAAGGGATCAAGGAAACGTTACCCAATGATTTTCTCTTCAAAACCCACTCAAAATCGCCTTCTCCCCAGCTCTCAATCGATTTTCAAACTTATGAAATTTAACCCTCGAAATTGATATTTCTGAACAGTCATTTCCGCTTCTGCGGACAAGGGACCGCTTCTGCGGTCCCGCTTCTGCGGACCACGATCCGCTTCTGCGGTTTTTCACTTAAGGCCAGACTCCGCTTCTGCGGTACAAATCCCGCTTCTGCGGTCCCGCTTATGCGGAGGAAGGGACCGCTTCTGCGGTTCCTGCGGAGATGCCTGGAATCGCTTCTGCGATGAAGAAGCCGCTTCTGCGGTTCCCAAGCCGCAGAAGCGGAAATACCAGAAGACTCAAAATCTACTGCTGCACACTTTAGAATTTCTTCCCGTCGACCATCCGAAATCATCCCGAGGCCCCCGGGACCTCAACCAAAAGCACCAATACCACCTAATACCTTATTCAAACTTGCACCAATCCTTAAAACACCTAAAACAACACCGGAAACCTGATTAAATCAAAGATTCAAGCCTAAGAACTACAAGTTTCTTACAAATACGCTTTCGATCAAAAACCTAACCAAAACACGTCTGAATGACCTGAAATTTTTGCACACACATCCCAAATTACATGACAGAGCTACTGTAACTTCCGGAATTCCTATCCGACCCTCGGATCAAAAACTCACTATCGAACCGGAAACTTCAAAAATTCAAACTTCGGCATTTCAAGCCTAAATGAGCTACGAGCTCCCAAAATACATTCCGAACACGCTCCCAACCCCGAAATCACCTAACGGAGCTAACGGAACCATCGGATTTTCATTCCGAGTCGTCTTCATACTGATCCGACTACGGACCACTTTTCAACACTTAAGCTCTCATTTTGGGATTAAGTGTCCCAAAACTCTCCAAAACTTAACACCGAATGTCCCGGCATACCAAAATAGCAGAAATGAAC